ACATTATCCAATTATCCAGCAGGATAACGGCGAATAATCATTTCGGCATCGATCATTTTCCAAATCGTTGTAATTGTTGTCGCGCGTCGATTGTAATCGTTATCGATCATATAAGCCGTACACTTACCTTACCTTGTCTTAAGATACGATTACAGTAATAAATCGCATACACAATGTCCGAACGAAGTCTTCGCCGTGAAATTACCCGAGCGAGTGTAATTTTCTAATGCGAATACCGTAATTGTTATAATAATTATCTCGCGGTAACTTTTTGCTCGTCGCTCTGAAAATCCGCGCACAACTGTAATACTGTAATTACTTCATGTGAAGCAAGTTGGTCGAGGTCGAGCATGATGAGATTTTCACAGCATTCCCACATAAATTGCATTTGTCGTTAATTCAAATGTAACTTCATTGACCGCGACTTTATTTTTTTCTTATTCGACCCGTGATATTTAGATTATTTTTTTGCTTAAAACAAAAATGTAATTACAATATAATGTATTTTAATGTATTTTGATAATGATACACGTTTTTATACACACATGTATATACATATATGATAAAATGTGAAAGCATAGAATCAATGATAAAAATAAATTTATGATTTAAATTAATCTTATTAAGTATGATATATGATGATATACATGAGCAATATTTATGACAAGTCTTATTAATAAGTTTTATACATACAATACGATATAAAGAATTACAGCAATAACAAGTATGTTAATAATATCATAAATATTACTTCATCATATATCATTCTTGACGGGGGAGATTAATTTGCTAATAGTCATTAATGATTTATACGAATATGTTGAGTGCTATCCTTGATCTGTTCATTCATATTTTATTGTTTCTCCCTCTTATCAACAATAGAATCAATCGGCTCGTAAACTTCCTTCCATTGATTCGAATCTCACTACTTAAAGATCCTAAGATCAAACGTTTCTCCCGTTCTGCATCGGAGATTGATAAAGTGCTCTTTGATATTGAGGAATTTAACAGATTATTAAATCGATACAATGTAAGTAAATTGGAAAAGGGGTGAAGGGGGAAAGTATTTACGACTTGTGCTACTTTTCGTAATGCGACGTAAGCAAACTAAACCTTTCGAAATGGCGAATGTAAAATTTAAGTGGGACATGTCTTACATGCTTGCAACAACAACTACTGCACATGCATTATTCAACTGTGAGACAAATGTATACCGTGTCCGTTGCGTACGGTGTTTGACCGCAGTTGCACCTAGCGTTAATTGACTTTAACATTAAATGTATGACTAGACCGTAAATGATGCTATATCAAAAATGTTAATATATACCAACGAACGGCACCCATTGTCATTTTTCCTTCATGATTTTGTTATGCGGGTTAGCATGAGAAAGCCCAAGAAAGAGAGCTCCAAAGGTGTACTAAAATATCCTCTTCTCTAATCAAGAAGTGGCATGATCGATAGTTCGTTGAAAAAAGCCGACGAGAAGCCGGTTCCATTTTTCAAGAGGCAAATGTTATATAATAATTAGGTTTGCACAAAACTCAAGGTAATATTTTTTAAAATATTGTATTGATATTCTTGTCTTGGTCTTGAGTGAATTTTTGTAGCAAAAACCTCATATTATCTCGAGCTTATTAACAATTCTTTTCTAATACTGATTATTTAAAATAATATATATTTAAAATAATCTTTATATAATATAATTTAAATAAATAATTGTATAAATAGTTGTATACAATTTTTTTATTTTTAAATAAATTATAATATATATATATATATATATATATATATATATATACATATATATAAATATTTAATACAAATATTTTTATTTATTAAATGAAATTTGTTAAGTTTATAATATAGCGTATATAATACAGTGATATTTTTTTCATCTAAAATTTTTACAACTATATATACATATTTTAGCTTTCAAAAATCTATAATCTGGAACAATTTTAGTCTTGATATTATCTCGATTAATTAATTAAAAGTCTCAGTGTTGTTTCGAATCCTGTATATTGTTTCGAATTTTGAAATAAAATGATAAATTAGTATTGATATCGTGTGCAATCCTAATAGCAAGAGTACTATTACATGACGAATAATATGTTATTTGAATCTGAATAATTTGTTTGCGATTCTCTCTCTCTCTCTCTCTCTCTCTCTCTCTTTATATTAATTGAAACAATTATTTCATCTTATCGCGTGTTGAAATCGCATGTAATATTTCTTCGGAACAATTGCGAAAATCTTATTGCTGACATTGTGAAAATTTGATACCATAATTTCATGCAATTGCATCTCGCAATTATTCTTCGGAATTGCAATTTTTGTTATCTCTGTTGCGTTTTATTTTCACGTAATTCGAACAACCCTATTTCCTCGTATTCTTTCTGGTTCATCTTCGTCATTGTTATTGATTGTCCGACATTTATTACTACGATTAGCGTTAAGCGTTTGTCACAACTGTCACGTATTTCTTAAAGTGGAAAATTATTGATAGAAAGACACTCGTAAAGTGCGCATTTTCTTTAGTGCAAAAATAAAAGCGTTTTAAGAGCTCGTTTCGGCATCGGTTGACCTCATTACCTACATTTTATCGAGGAACCAAATGAGAACACAGTAAGGGAAAGAGCGGGGAGTCTCGAAACAGAATGAAATGAAGCCCACGAAAAAAGTATATCGGTCACACAAATAACGGCATTGGTTCTTTATGTATTTGACCGAAATAAGAGAAGGAGAGAGAGATTTATTGGTCTCTAATAAAGATCGAATTTAAAAAATGACAGAGATTTATTGGTCTCTAATAAAGATCGAATTTCTCGCTTATATTGAAATGAAAATTAAACAAGTTAGAGAATTGATTAAACATGTAATTCTGCATAAAGGAAATAAAAAAAGTCGACAAAAAGGAGGGCTAGATTATATTTTTATTAGTATATAAAAATTTATTAATAAAAAATCTGTAAAATCTCTTTTATTCTATCTTCTTTTTTTAAAACTTTTTTCAAACTAATTAGTACATTTATATTCATATTTTTTCTGATTATTTTTCTGAATAGCAATAAATTCTATAGAAACGTTTTTTCAACAAAAAAATATATACCATATAACAATTTTTTTATAGTGATATATATTCTCGTTTTATCAAAGGTCATTTGTAAACTTTATTATAATGTAAATTGCATTATAAGGAGAAAAATATCATATATTTTTATATTAAAGTATCGAATTTTTATAATCAACATTTCGTAAGTGAATTTGTATTAAAACGATTATTTATTTAATAATTTTTAAAAATCTAAGTGAAGAAAAAACAGAGAACTGACTCACACATATAAAACAATTAATTTTTTTTTTAATACAGTAAAGTAAGGCTTTCACGAAAAGTATGTAGGTCTTCTCTTCGAAAAGGAGGAGCATTAAAGAGGGAGAGGATCAAAAAAGAACAAGAAAAAACAAAGCGAAAAAGAATCGCTTCCACTTCTCCCCTCCAGTAGCGAACCATCATAAGCAGCAGTTCACTTGTCATGGGTCCCAATGTCTCCGATTATTCATTTAACGGGACTCGCACGTCCACGACGGCCGGAGAATGATGATTTCTCCAGAAGACGGCGAGTTTGAAGTTCGACTTTGCTCAGTCTTCTTCTATGCGGGTGCGCGCGTGGACCGCTCCGATTCTCTGCGTCGACAGAACAATAGTCGTCGAGTTTCTTTGATAGTTTCGGTGAAGCGTGAATATCATCCAATGAGCCTCGTGGAAAAATTCGAGCCTGCGGGAAAACAAATTATGATTATTTTTTCGAATCGCGGTTCTTTTACGATATCGGAGAAACATAGACTGATCGTCTCTTCGATGTAATTCGATTTGATTTGATTAATAATCTGATGCGCAATCTCATTCCCAATGTGTTTAATATATTATGCATAATACGACAATGATATAATTATTCGATTGTCGAATGTATGCGCAAATATTACTATAAAATTATTCAACATTTCGTTTGCGCTATTTAACATCTCGTGACGAAATACATTTTCACGTGTAACTGTGAAGGACGGGCTAAAACTTTTGTCACTTCGCGGTTCGTTGCATGATCTTCTCGTAAGTCTATAAAGGGGTCTCTTAGGTGTCAGTGACGCAAGAATCCTGTCTCTCACAACATTTAAATGAAACGTGCACCACAGCCACGTGGTGTTTAGACCGACAGTGAACGTCGAGGCGAGTAACTGCGCGAATATTATCTCCAGACGACATCTGACAAGGACTTGTTTCCATAATTTCTTTTGTTTCATCAGTACAATCCTCTTCAACTTGAGTTCGATACAAACGATCGTAGTCATTCAAATCTAGATTCGTCGAATAATTGAAAAATAAACAGACAAGAACAGAGTATCGAATAATAAAGTTCGCGAGGAGCCTGAATGACAGAGTGTTGCGAAAGAAATTATTGTAGTCGAAGAGAAAAGTTTCAAAAGTGTAGGACGATACATACGAGCAAGAAAAAAAAGGAGGTCTTGAAATTTAAATATTTATTATTCGACAAACCTTCGAGGTTTTTAGTGTGTGTGTATGTGTGCGTTGTAACGATAATCCGCGTAAATCTTAAACCAGTCGACTTCGAAATCTCTGCCGGCACACACCTCGTACGGCATATCCGTTTGTTCGCGAACGTGTTAGCTCGTTAAACAGTCCAACACGGGTTCCGTACTATCTAACGTAAGTTGATACGACAACTTCGATTCGATTCAATAGGTTTCCTCAACAGAATTGCACTCGCTGAATTAAATAAATCTCGAATTAACTTAAACCAAGAATGGAATATTAAATAATCTTTTAATCTCGATGTCGTATGCATATTTCCAAGTTTAATCAATTTTTATTTCGTATCATTTTCTACGCAAATATTTTACAATTATTAATAATTTGTGTCATATCATATCGTAAAAGCTTGTGACATGTGTATCATGTGGTTTTTTTCTTTTCTCTCGGAAGGTGTTTCTAGAGCATCGGGGCAAAGATGAGGTAGGACAATTAGTTGGTGCCAAAACCCACGGCGCAACACCGTTAGTTATGGCATGTCGGAACGGACATTACGATGTAGCAGAATACCTCATTGAAAAATGCGGGGCGGACGTGGAGCAGCCCGGGTCAGGTAAGACCGCAGTCATCCTTTCATTAACAGCTTCGTTCTATCCGGGATAATCTTCAAGCCTAACTGCGCGGATAATGGTTTTGTTTAAAAATTTTCATTTTTATTTTTTTCTATAAAAATTTACGATTAAAATTCTTTTTCAAATATGTTAATAAAAAAAATTGTGATTGTGATTGGTCAGAAAAGTCCAGTGAGATAAAACTATGCTAAATTGCGTTTTTTATTATCTCAGATTTTATCTCATAAAATAAATTGGCAAAAACTATAAAAATAATTAAAATATGTAAAATATATTTATATAACTTTATGCAAAATGATATTTCTACTTTAATGAATTCATACTCACTATAATTTAACAAATGAAATCAATTTAATAATAAAATCTTTTTTAATCTAAATTAATATGTCAAATTTTTAAAACAAAAAAACTTTAGAAATATAAATGGTATCTTTCAACGTTTATCTTTCAACATATTCTAGCAAAATACTAATTTATTTACTACGTCGATTCCTAATCTAATTACAGATTCATTTTAGATAAAGCTTATATTAGAAAACATCTTATTGACGAACATCAATAAAAAGATTTTTTATTTAAAAATTTTTAATAAAAAAGACCAATTTTTCCTAAATTACTGATTTTTACTGACATTCTGTATACTAATACAGAAATTATGTAATACAGAATATTTATCGTAACGATTACACAATCAGAGTTGACAAAATTCCATCTTTCTTTGGGTAAAATCTATATCAGTGGTAAAAATTAGTAATTTAGGAAAAAAACCAGTAAAAATTGATCTTTTCTATTAAAAATTTTAAAATAAAAAATCTTTTTATTGATGTTCATCAATTAAGTGTTTTCTAATTTACTATACGCTGGTATAATCCATTGCAACAATTTGTGCATTGCACATATTGCACTATTACACAATTAATTTTATTTATACGATTATTTTATTTATACGATATTGTTATGTTTTCGTCATTATTTTTTTTTTCGTAAGACACTATTTGATTTTCCGCTTTGTTACTAATTGTTACTAATTGATATATATTTTTCAACATTTCTTTCCGAAAATAGTGGTTTTCGAAGGCGAGACAATCGAGGGCGCACCACCCCTATGGTGCGCGGCTGCCGCTGGTCATTTGGCCCTTGTTAAACTGCTAGTGAGACGAGGTGCCAAAGTGAACTCCATCACGAAAACAAATTCCACGCCTCTTCGCGCTGCATGTTTCGATGGACATTATGATATCGTCAAGTTTCTAGTACAACATGGCGCAGGTAAGGAATATAAAATTCGTAAATTATGTAACAATAAATATATCACGGGCTCTTAAAATAATATGATATGAATTAATAATATATGCTAATAAAAATCAATCGCACGAGAATAGACGAAAATAAACATTAAAATAAGAAAACTTTTGAATTCTTCAAATGATTTTTTATTTCTGCCTATTGTCATGCGATTGACTTTTACTAACTCATATTATTAATTTACATATTATAAATTATGCATTTTCCTGCTAAAAATATTCAGCTGTAGAATTACTGTCAGCATGTCATGATTCTTATCTAATATTCGGTAAACAACAAGAGTATTGCCAATGAATTCCGAAATGCAGTTTTCTTAAATAAATATTATTGTTATAATATAACGAGGAATAAAATAACAACAAAATAGTAACAAATAATATAATTTACATGACATAAAAACTATAATATGGTTATTTTGCAATATTAAAAAATAGTAACATCAAATATATTATTGTAATATTATATCGTTATATACATATTTATATATACATATACCGGGTGTTTCAGACCACCCGTATACCCCATTTTAAAGCAAAGGAAGTGGTTATTTTGAAAAATGTTTCAGACAAAAGTTGTTGAAGATAAAGTAATGCATTACATGGGTAAATTTGATTGATCTTGGGTGGCGTCGTGAAGGTCATGTCAAGGTCGACTTGAATTTTTTAAATGGGAACCCCTATTTTTCATTGCATATTCTTGTAGCTTATCTCGAGAGCTTTCCAAAACACTATAATTAAGTACCTTTTTATTAAGTACTTTTTGAGTTATAAGGCTTGAAATAATTTCTTAATTTTACATAAACCATAAAATATCTAGTAAACCATTCATTTTTCGATTATCTTACCTTCATACTTTTATGTACAAAATAATGAGAGGAATCAATTGGTGTAAAGAAAACACATAGTTGTTTCTAAGAAAAAATATGTAATTTGCAATTAACAATTCCATATTTTTTCTTAGAAACACTATGTGTTTTCTTTAACAATTGATTTTTACTAATCATATTTTATGGTTTATGTAAAATTAAGAAATTATTTCAAGCCTTATAACTCAAAAAGTACTTAATAAAAAGGTACTTAATTATAGTGTTTTGGAAAGCTCTCGAGATAAGCTACAAGAATATGCAATGAAAAATAGGGGTTCCCATTTAAAAAATTCAAGTCGACCTTGACATGACCTTCACGACGCCACCCAAGATCAATCAAATTTACCCATGTAATGCATTACTTTATCTTCAACAACTTTTGTCTGAAACATTTTTCAAAATAACCACTTCCTTTGCTTTAAAATGGGGTGTACGGGTGGTCTGAAACACCCGGTAGATATATACATATACATTATATACCTATTTCCTCGCTTGTTACTATGCGGCTACTAATTGACTAATTTCTATTTAATTTTTCATCGTGATATATATATATATATATAAAGACAAAATATGAGTTGCTAACATAAGATTCAGTATATTCAAGTATCTTTTTGTCAATTTAGTTTCTAATATAATTCTAACAAGGAATTCAGAATATTAAACAGAATATTAAGCAATATTTAAAGTTACATTTAGAGTAAGAGTAAATGAAGAAAAAATGCAAAGATTTCATTTGAAAAAATATAAAATGTTTGTAAAAATTAATATAATTTCGACAAAATTATATTTGTGGGATATATTCCCTAAAAAATTTTTTTATCACATATAATTTTTTCTACACATACAAAGAGAAAATTACAATTTATATCACCAAATGTTTAAAATACCCTTTTTTACTTTACAGATATCGAGATGGCAAATCGACACGGGCACACATGTCTGATGATTGCATGCTACCGGGGTCACGTGAAAATCACAAAGTTCCTACTCGCTCTGAAAGCGGATGCAAATCGCAAGTCCGTGAAGGGCAACACGGCGCTACACGACTGCGCCGAAAGCGGATCCCTGGAGATACTGAAGATACTTGTCGAGCACGGCGCTCAGATGGACGTGGACTCTTATGGGATGACGCCACTTCTCGCGGCAGCAGTAACAGGTTAAAGCAGAAAGTTCCACGCACCACTCGAAGGTTCCCTTAAGATAGTTTATTTTGCTCATCTGAAGCGATCTGTTCCGCGATAATTAGACAACTGAGAGAGAATGGCGAGCGCTAATCGAAAACATTTTTTCGCTTTCCTTTCTTCAGGTCACACACATATCGTCGAGTACCTCATAGGCATTCCGCAACTTTTCAGCAGGAAAGAACGCATCGATGCGCTGGAGTTGCTCGGGGCGACATACGTGGATAAGAAAAGAGATATGATAGGCGCTCTGCAGTTCTGGAAGCGAGCTATGGACGAGAGGTACAAATCTATCACATCTATACACATCTCCGTATTCTATCTCAGCAATCGCATTTTTTGTATTGCAAGAAATTTTTATATGTAATTTTAAGTATACTTTTCAAATATATAACAGGAATTTTTATAAGTACAGAATAAATTTTGTTTTATCTAAATTCTTTAACACGAATATAAGTTTGATATTTCTCTTTCTCTCACTTAAGAAAAATTAAATTAACGTTATATCTTTTGCAATATCTTTCCTTAGATATCGAGGAGACGGCCCGATGATATCAAAACCTGAATTCCCGCATCTTGTAGCTGCTTACGATTTCGCCCGAGAGGTAGTCGAACCCGAGGCTTTGGACGATTTGTTGGCGGATCCAGACGAAATGCGCATGCAGGCACTGGTGATCAGAGAACGAATATTAGGACCGGCTCATCCGGATACGAGTTACTACATCAGATATCGCGGAGCGGTTTATGCGGACGCGGGTAAATTTCGTCGCTGTATCGAGCTGTGGAATTATGCTCTCGATATGCAGCAGAGCATGCTGGAGCCGCTAAACCCTATGACGCAGAGCTCTCTATTCAGTTTCACCGAACTCTTTAGCTTTATGGTGGGTGAGGAAGGCAGACAGACAACTAGGGGTCGCAGAGTACCGCCGGTAAAAAGAGAAGATCTTTTGAAAGTCTTCGAGAAAGCTGTAAGTATGAAAACACGATGTTGTCATCTGCAAATGTGGCCTGATGATACGCATCGACATTTATCGTTACCTTGTAAAAATAATTTACAGGTTAACGAAGTGGCAAAAGGAAAGCAAATGTTGGACAAAATGAGCGATTTGGCGTGCGACCGCGATTTAACATTCTTAAACAGAGTCCTCGTAATTACCCTGCATTTGGCGTGTCTGTTAACACGTGAGACTGGAGAGAAGGGTAGCGAAGAGTACATCGCCTTACATAAGGAGTTGTACAAGTTAGTTCGAATAAATGCCAAAGGCAAACAGGTGAGCGACTATCACTGATTAATGAATAAGAATCGAGAGAAAGGCAACTTTTGATATTTACACCTCTGATTTACGTTTTTTTTCAGGGTCGTGACGCGCTGCAATTAAGTCACAGCGAAGACGGTGCTCTAGTTGGTAGATATCCCACATGCAAATTTCCATCTCCTGATTTAACCAAAGCTCTGCTAAGAGTAGGCGCGGACGTAACTGCCAAGGATAATGACGGGAACACGGCACTTCATTTGACTGCACTGTTGCGTCCTTGGCGGCCGGTCTTATCGATCGATCTGCTCGACGCCGGCGCGCATCTCGATGCTGTCAACAACGATGGCAAAACATTCGAGATGTTGTTATGCGATAAGGAGCTTTACGATTCGATTTATCCTCTGAGATATACCACATTAGCTTGTCTTGCTGCGCGAGTGGTTAGAAAGACGCAAAACATTAGTAGAGTACCCCAACACCTTCGCGCTTTTGTCGAAATACATTAGCAATTTTAAGAAGATGCAAATGAATACGCACGCGCGCAGGACATGAGACCGCCGTTCCTGAGTGACTACGCGACAGTCATCTCATCCTAATTGACTGATTATGAGAAAATTTAACGAGAGTTTCATGGAGAAGTGATAATTCGGATATTGCTGAATCCGATTTATTTCTGACACTGAGACTCGTCTTTTTATATCGAAATAAAGGTAAAAGATTGTTTCGTAAAATACAATTCTTTTAACCAACAGAATACTATATATATGTATATGAAGCACACATGATCCCAAAAAGATCTCTTAATTATTTTCTCCGGTATAAAACATGTTTTGCAATAAGATTTTTTCATAGAAATTAAAGCATTTTTGTTTACATTTTACAATTGGCATGTTTTTTTATTTTACTTTATAGTTAATTTATTCAAGATTTATATAATTATTTTATAAAAAAAACGAAGTACAAAAGTTTCTAGACAATAAAAGTCGTATTTATGTGTGTTTCGTTTTTAAAAATATTGTATACATCATTTTAATACGACTATAATATTTGACGTTGAAATACTTTCATAAAAAGGATGAAAAAATTAAAATACTTAATGCAAAACATAATTTGATCCTCGTTTCTATTTATTGATTCATAACTTTTTCTCAATATGCACTTTATAGTTATATTAACTAAATATCTTATTGGATTTGTTATTAAAAGTGTGTTAGAGTACGGCGATATTTTCATTGAAACGGAACGATCGTCTATATGGCTTTTTTTAACAATTTCTTGTTTGCCATCATTCTTGTTGAGATTAGTGAATTAGATGAGTGTCGATGATATATTTCTCTTTGGATAGATCTCTTTGGTATCGAGTGTGCAATGATACGAAAGACTAAATCTTTATGAATAAGTATTCATCGACATTTTAACGCGGTGATATTGAATGTGGGGATATTGAATATTGTGATTTTATTATTACGAAGTCGGTTAATTAAAGGCCTCTCCCTTATACATAAACCCCGCGCAAGCCATATTATATATACATACCACGTTGATGATTGCTTAGTGATAACGATAAATATATGTTGAATTCAAGAGTGTGTAATCTTAGAGAAATGACTTTTTACCTTGCTGTATAAATAAATAAAAAGAAAAACATGGATTTGTAATAAAAGTTTTCTGATAAACAATGAATATGATAATAATACAATTCTACATTTACGTATGCTACTCTGTGTGTAAAAAAGGGACATAAAATTGCGTTTATATCTTTCGTTCCAGCACGCCTCGAAGCACATCGCGCAAATTATTTTAGATTTTATTCGTTCATTAATATTCCCAGGGCAAATGATAGCAATCGGAATTGATAATTTATTTAAATAAGCCATGAATTTTTTCACCTTTATTTCAAAAAGATGCCATAATTCATACATATATATCAACTATATAGAGACACGTCACTACAAAATTGCATACAATACATATAAATGAGTATGTGATGTTCAAGGTGCCTTTTGCTTTCGAGGTGAACGATATTACACTCTTTTATCAAACGCGACTGTTTACACCATAAAGACGAATTTGCATGAAATGATCCGTATATACGTGTTACGCGATTTTATATAAGTTTTACATGTTGCATTCAAATTGTTTATCTTATTATTGACATATTATTACCAATCATTAACTCTATCATTATCATGCTACACTAAGACGTGCATTATAATTCTCTACAAAGACGGTATCTTTGCACTTAATCCCTGTATCGAAAGCTATTTTATAATGTAAAGATAGACGGAGTAAAACAATACAGATGTAAAAGTATTCCGTTGCTCGCTTTTTTTTTATTCTATGCAACTTACCGTCCCGCAAAATTCGACGTGGCTCGCGATAGTTTTCCTGGAAGAACAACATATTTGCGTGAGGTGACTGTTTGTCGGCTGTTAAAACTTACCTGATTTGTCACGTTGGAATAAATATCTCTCGATCTGACCTGTGGAAATAATTAGTGACATCCACGTTGTATTTATATGTCCCACTATAATAAAAGTATTCCTTACGATACAGTAATTTGTACATATATTATGTCACTCTATGAGGAAAAAAAATGCTTTTCTCGTAAATATATTACACAATGTGTGGCAAGATAACAAATATTCCCTTTGAAATCGATGGACCTATTAGTGCGAAAATACAGGACAACTCTTGTATTATATATCGGAGCCCCTGACTAACATTAATGATAACAAAAAAAGGGACGATACCACATCTCTTCGAACTCGTGGGAATTTAATTTAAACGCCAATGGAGAGGATGATTCAGTCATAAAAAAATTTTCCCAATTTCTACCGTCAGTTGTAGATAAAACGTCGGAGAAGTTTAGGAACACACTTACCATAGAATTATTGTGTTTAAAACTCTCTGGAAAGATGCGAAGTCCCGCATGTGTGATACAGATCGACAGAGATTGTAATAAAAAACTAATGCATTGGAATAGATACAAATCGATACACATAGAAGATCTTGCCATCGACCTCCATAATTCTACAGTTCTACACACAGAATCACCCGCACCACGTTAGGAGAACGATGAGAATTATATTCCGTGTTAATCATCCCTTTCTCGGTCACCTTTCTATTAAAATTCATCGATTCAGCTCATTTTTTCGTCCGTACAATAAAAATACTATTTAAAAGCTATTGGAGACGAAGAACATTACTTATGACATATACGGATGAATTTCCCCGGCAAGCTTTGTTTTTAAATTGTCTAATGAACTTTGACAGAACAGATAATTGTTGCTAATCAGGGACACACCGTCTCTCTCTTTCTTCTTAGAACCTCTTCGAAAATCGGGGGAGAAAAAGTACCTCTGAAAAAGTATCTCACCTGCGATGTTTGAACGAGCATTTTTTCCCATTGCGCAGATTATTGACGTCCCAATATGCGGAAGATAATCAGGAGAGCGATCTGTATTTAAAGATGCGTTAATAAACAAATGGACTCATGTTTGTTTAAATGCAATGCGTTTGTAGGACACTCGTCGATTTTTTTTTTAAACGCATTACATTTAAACATGTGCTAGGCTCACTTTCACAAGATCCGTACAAATCGACATAAGAGAGTGTGGCGCCACTTAAAAAATTATAATAAAAATTCATACAACAGCACAGAAATAAAACACAACGACCAGTATGTTTTTTTTTGTAGTCAAAACGAATTTGGATTTTATTCAATCACTGAGATTGCGGTTATACAAGAGTGGTTATACAATGCACAGAATGTTCCTCGAGATCTACATGGCGAGAGAGAAAGGAGTAATGTTTACCAAAAAAATAATGGAAATATTTCAATATATAATCTTGTCTATTGTTGAAACAATTTAAATCTCTTTCATATACATACTGAATAGACAAGAAGATTAAACAGTCGACAATTGATATTTCAAGTCAGGAAGCTTAATTTATTTTTTGGTAAACATACTACGGTGCATAAAACGCTGAGCAATTTAGCCGAATTTAATCATCCAATGTTATAAAGGTATCCAATGTTTGTTCGCCGAAGTCTCGAAGCGAGTGTGAACCGAGAGAGGATCTTCCTAAAAAAATGGACTATAGAAAATTTCTCGTATGCTGCACTTAGGTCGTTAAATTGTTTACAGCGACAATAGTACGAATGTGATACAGCAAAAAAAAAACAAATAATAATAATAATAATAATAATAATAATAATAAGAATAATAATAATAAATTGTGTGATTTCGCAGAAATCGTGGCGACGAAGCGCTGCTGTTCCCTGTCAATCATCACGATATGCCTTTTATTACGCATAAGAAAATACGAACAATGCGATGAAAATCCAACACATAATTCACGATCTGCATAATATAAGATTGCAAACGAGCGTGCCTATATCTCGCAAGCCGGGAATCTTAACTGTTTGAGCGAATAACGATTTTATAGCGTTAAAAGTGCATTTTTACGATCGAAAGATTATCCTTTCGATTTCTACCCCTTGTTTGTGGACCCAGCTGTGAAGCGAGCAAAGCGTCACTTTAGACCGGAACGATGGAGAACCGATCAGTCTCTCGTCATGATAACTAAGAAGTAAAGACTTACAGACTATAGATTCGCTAATTACTGTAAATAACCTGTAAATAGTAACTGTAAATAACCTACACACTGAAAAGAAACCTACTGATTTACAGTAAGATCATCATGAAACCTAAGCCTAAGCAACTATAGTCACGATCGCTAGAAAAAACTGATTTAAGAAGTGAACAATTAGAGTAAAGACTTCCACTGTAAAAAGGAACGATAATTTGGTGATAAACAATGTAGAATCGAAAAGTTGAGACGGTAAAGAGAGGGGATGCAAGGGTGATCGTCAGTAGTCGACACGACTGTTTCAACGTTGAGTAGCCATCACATAAACACGACTTGCTGATCTTCTGAAGACAGATACTTCGCATTCACTGTCCTAAGTTCTCTGCCAGATAACTAGAATGAATTTCTAGTATTGTCACCAGGAGCGGAACAATCCTTCACAGACGACACACAAACACCCATCTTCCTTACGCTGCGTCAATAAGTTATGGTTAAGCATCGAAAGTTCGGCGATATAATCTTTTTTATCAACATTACCTTAAATCCGTCTGAGACTATCTCTTGGCGTTTTAATATAGACGCACATCAATCGTCCTGCCATCAATGCGTGATCGATTCATCATAGCTAAATACCATTATTAAGGAAAACTCGTTCATATAAACACGTTCGTATAAACATTTTTTTTTCTCAATAATTATATATGATTAGCATATTGACAAGTATTAATTGACCGTCTCTCCTTATTCTATTTTAGATCTCGCAGTTAATAATTAAAAAAATATAGAAATAACCAATGATCAATCAAGTATCTTTCCTAAAGAAAATGTCTAAATCTCCATCATTTTAAAAAAGGATACTTACAGCACGCTCAGCATCCCATTCAGATGCGAATCGTACCATGCCCATGTCTGCACCTCTCATTTCTGCAAATTTTACTTCTCCAGCATCTTGAAATTTATCACGTAGCATTTGCCATGTGGTATTTGGAGGTAGCTATGTAACAAGAAAAATTATTAAATATTAAATCGTGAAAAAAACTGAAAAATGATATGATGATATGTAAAGTACATACATTGCCTATAAGAATGGTATCTGACATTGGACGTGAACCATTGGAATTTTGTCGATTACCGCCACCACTTTGGCCTTGATTCCCGGAAAAACCACCGCCACCGCCGCCGGAAACTCGATCGCCATCTCCTCTACTAAATCCGCCATCGAAGTCTCTACTACTGCCACCAAAATTGGAACCGCCAAAGGCATTGTTACCACCGAAGCCTATGTCATTGTCCAACTTTGATAATCCACGAGGGGTAAACGAATTGTTTCCTTGTCCACCGGCCAAAGATGCCTGCAGACCGCTCAAACTACCTACACCACCGCCGAAATTATTTAAATTCGACGCCAATTCACTCGTCAGTGATGAATTCAATAACGAACTAGTAGTGAGATTGGCACCCAAACCGGCGCCGGCAAGACTAGCCTGAAGAGCAGCGGCATTCGTATTTGACAATGCTGATGCTGTGAACAGACCCGATCTTCTGTTCGCATTCAAAAACGAGATTTTAATTTATCTATGAAAATAGATATATAACTCACCTAATTGCGCAGGTACGACATTGTTTAAACCGGCGCCAAAAGCGCCTGCCGCTAAAACAGGCGCCGAAATCGGATTTACTACTGGTGGACTGTTTGCTTGAACGTTGGGAATGTTTCTAGCTACATCCAACAATCTATTACCACCAGCTCCGAGTCCCATGCCAATTCCTTTCAAACCTAAATTACAAAGTAAATTAATTTATATAAGAACATTGAACATATATTACTTAAAAAACTGATGAATGTAAGTACCTTCTGGCAATTTGGGTGGCATGTCAGGTTCATTAGCTCTGTCAAGTCTAACGGTCATACGTCGGTCATATAATTGTTGATTGTGAAGCATAGAGATGGCTTGAACGGATTCCACTGGGTGATCATATTCCACGACTCCAAAACCTCTAGATTTACCGTCTTTGTCTTTCCCTAATTCAACATGCAATACTTTTCCCGCCAATTTAAAAACTTCAAGTAGTTTTTTCTCGTCAACTTTATAATCCAACTAAATACATAAAACACATATATCCTCAATGCACAATTATTATTATATCTGTTAATATATATATATACTTGTATACTCACATTAGCGACAAAAACTCTTGTAACCAAAGGACCATTGATACCTAATGACTCTAAAAATTGTGTACTAAGACCATAGGTATTTCCGAATTTATTGTCACCGCCGCCACCTCCGCCACCGCCGCCACCACCGCCTCCACCGCTACTACCACCACCACCACCGCCACTGGGTGCAGACATATTTTGCCTTCCACCCCCTTGCGGCCTAGGAGGATCTCGGAATCTGTCATCTCGATTTCTATCATTGTTACGACCTGTGGCTAAACGACCATACTTATCGCGTTCTACATCAAAATCCTGCAAAATATACAAAATATATAATCAATACAATAATTATAATTAAGCTAAACATTACGGATAAAACAGGTAAATTAACATAAAATTTATTTTAAATTCTATCCTTTTTATTTAACAGATGAGCCAACGTATCTACTTACTTCCTTAACAACAAGTTTCCTTCCTTTAATGTCATATCGATGCATTTTATCTACTGCTATTTTTACTGAGTCTGAATCTTCAAATTCTACTATCCCACATCCTCTAGGTTTATCATTTTCATCAGTGAACAGTTCTACATGTGCTACCTTGCCAACTTCATTTCTAAACAAATCTTTCAGATCTTGCCAGCGAAAATCATAAGGAATGTTTGACACATATATCCGTCTGTCAGAAGCTTTCCTGCCACTGCGATCATTTCTCTCTCTGCTACGATCGCGGCTAGCCGAATTTATACGGTTTGGTCTATCTGATCTTCGATTGCGATCACGTTCTCTACTTCTGTCTCTGTCATCGTTATTCTGTGGTTGACCGCTACAATCAAATATGGCAAGGTAATTGTATGTGTACACAAGTAATACATGTGTATATATATAATATATATATATATATATATATATATATATATATATATATATAGTAAATTAACTTATCATAATCAAATAAATCTTTTTTTAACATTCAAACTCATACATACATGCACATACGTAAATGTAAACGAGGCTAAACACATGTAAGAAAAAAAGACACATATATGAGAGAAACACGAGAAAAAATAAGTACATAAATAAAAGATTAAGGCCAGAATAGAATTTTAGGATTTATTTATGTCAATGGCAGTATAAATTTCAGTGAAAAATATTAAGAATATAAAAGTACTTTCATCGTAACAGCACTTGCATGAAAATTTATATCGCGGATACATTGCATCTTGCGTTTGCACACGTACACACACATACATACACGCACAATTTCGCGGATTAACGAGAAATCTTACTACGCGATTAATCCGGAATATCATACTTACTCTTCCGTCTTTATCATTGTCAAAAACCGGCTTTCGCGAACACTCTAAACACAATCTTACAAACTAGTTGTTAAAAGAGCACATCGAGTATACCGAGCGTCGTATAAAATGGCCGTCGCAGGAAATTGCTAGTCGCGGTCGCGCACCGGATGTCACCACACTTGACGATAAATACTTACTACGAAATTTGCATGTTTGAACAATTGCGAAACGTCCCTCCATACAGTTCCTTCAAAGGTGAAAATTATTATATTAATATATTATTATATTATAATTATTCACACAAATATGCACATTATTATTATGTATGAACAAAAATTTAAAAATTATGTAAAAATTATAATTAAAAATTTTTTAAATATACATTATAAAATTATTTCAAAATTATTTTATTATAATTATTAATATATTAAATGTGCATATTAAATATACGTATTGCTATTATATATAAACTGTTTCTCATATTTTTCACACTCAATCTGGAATTTTTTTCGTGAATTATGGTTTTATTTTTATAGCAAATTTTTAACCCTGTTATTCGTGTTTCTTCATCCAAAGAAAAACTCTTTTTCTTTCACAATTTGACATTCATAATTTTTCTGTTTTCAAACAGCTGAAAGAAGTATACATTTTTATCATCCACGTGCCGAGCATCACTTTTTCCGAGACTCCGAAGATGCGTTCAAAAATCCAATCTCTGGCGTTTTCGAATAGTACAGGTTTGTTCTGAGGTAAGTTACTAAACGTCATTGACCAATCACAGCCATTCCTCTGAAGAATGTAACCAGTCTTCAAAAGAATGACTGTGATTGGTCAAAGACGTTTAGTAACAATTTAAGTCTATAATGTAAACGCTCATACAAATTTTTTAAGCAAATTAATTGGCGACAAGATGGAAAATTTCTCGAGTGCTTCGAAATTTTCTACTTTTTAACTAATTAACACGCTTAAAAAACTTGCCAAATATATGACAAATGTAATTTCAGCTTCATGGGATTTCGAATTTGTTGGAGCGACCACGTGGTCAATGACGTAAGTCACGCATGCGCGCGAGAATCACGTCCGAAGTCGTTCGTCCCTCAAAGATCCCGATCCCGAAGAGAGCGAATCGCGAGCCGTACATATTTTTTTCGCATCTATCACTCGCCGGCGATGGCAGCCCAGTGGATTCGCACAGCAGTAAGTAGGCGAGTCGCCCGCGAAATTATCCAAGGAACTGTCGTCGTGCATAATCATTCCGCCCGCCTCTGCACGTCCTTCCAGCTCCGAGCAAGGTTAGAACCCCTCGCGAATCGTACCTCGTAGATCTTCCGTCTCGCTTTTGCTTTAGCACCATTTCCTCTATTTCTCTCTCTCTCTCTCTCTTTTCTCTCTATTACATCTATCTTCGTTTCTATAACATCCTCTTAACGATATATAGTTCAACAGTTCTAATTCGGTAACGGCCTCCGTTTTCCGTCACGACCGTCCTCTCCACCTCCGTCGCGAAACCGGAGATTCTAATCGGTGTAATCTCGAGTTTATTTATTTTAAAGGGGATCTTCACGATTGTTCAAATCAACCTGAAATTTATTTTCCTTCCATGACCCTCAAAGTTGGACTCGTCGAAATTTTATTTGTATCGCATGTATTTTAATCGCTTTTAGTCACACGGTATGTCGATGCTAATAGATCTCTTCGAAACTCACCGGTGCGCGGTTCTACAGCAGCCAGGTACACAAATGCACTCTCATCCCCGGAGACGGCATCGGACCCGAGATCTCTGCTGCGGTGCAGAAGATTTTTGATGCTGGCAAGGTATATTCCGTTTTCCACAACTCTTCTTTATGTTTGCTTGTGGGAAAATTGCAGCTTCCACTCTGTAAAATGATCCAATTTATTGCATTAAAGTATTCATTTAAGTTCTCTAAGTGGATCCAATTGTAAGATGTAATTTAATATACTTCTCGCTATAACCTTTAGCAAATTGTCTGTGAATTTTTTGCATTGTATATTTTATATAGCGTAACAGAATCAATTTTTACTATTGAAATTGAAGAATAATATTAGCATAATATTAATAATAATTTATATCTTGTAATCTAAAAATTGAGAAAAACTATTTTTTGTGATAAATAAAGACATCTTTGCAACATTTTATTCAACTTACAAAACAATTAGTCAGATAGCTTGAATTGCATAACATAATTATTCAATTCATAATATCTTTAAATATATGTATGCACTCTTGATTTTCTATCTAGGACCATAATATCAAAAATATTAATATTAATATATTAATATTAACATTTAGGCTCAATAATAGATTTCCTTATTTTTTTTTAATTTGTATCTAAAATAATAGGTACCGATAGAATGGGAATCAGTTGATGTGACACCAGTGAAGGGTCCTGATGGCAAGTTTGGTATACCACAAGCAGCCATCGACTCTGTCAATAGGAATAAAATTGGTCTGAAGGGACCCTTGATGACTCCGGTAGGAAAAGGTCATAGATCTCTCAATCTTGCACTCAGAAAGTAAGTCATCATGATTCTCGTGCAATCAAATATGGGTAAAATTAACTCTGCAAGAATATTATCTGAATCTTATCTGATTCTTATCTGAATCTAGCACAGCTGTGCCTTGCAAATAATACATATTACATAATTATAATATTTTGATAATTACATGTGCTTTAAATATTTTACAGCTTATTTATCTGTCTTCTTATCTGTTTGCAAATATTTGCAGGGAATTTAATTTATATGCTAATGTGCGACCATGTCTATCATTAGAAGGATATAAGACATTATATGATAATGTCGACGTCGTCACTATCAGAGAGAATACAGAAGGTGAATATTCGGGTATAGAGCACGAAATCGTAGAAGGCGTTGTACAGTCTATTAAGTTAATTACGGAAGAGGCTTCTCTAAGGGTAGCGGAATTTGCTTTTAAATATGCCACAGACAATAATAGGAAAAAGGTATATATATTTATATGAAAATGTACGAAAGACTAAAATTAAACTAGCCAGATTAATTAAAATCTTTTTATAGGTCACTGCTGTACATAAAGCGAATATCATGAGGATGTCCGATGGTTTGTTCTTGAGGTGTTGTCGGGAAGCCGCGCAGAAATTTCCGGCTATCAAATTCGAAGAGAAATACTTGGATACAGTTTGTTTAAATATGGTGCAAGATCCAAGCCAATATGATGTGCTCGTTATGCCAAATCTGTACGGAGATATCTTGTCCGATATGTGCGCTGGACTCGTCGGAGGTCTTGGTCTCACACCGAGCGGGAATATCGGTTTGAATGGAGCCTTATTCGAATCGGTATGACCATTATTATGAAATCGCGAATAAATTTGACATTAACTTTTTATCTTGTACGATGAAATTGTATTTTCAATTATATTCTTTATTTAGGTACATGGAACGGCACCCGATATTGCCGGCCAAGATAAGGCAAATCCCACAGCGTTATTACTCTCTGCGGTAATGATGCTCAAATATATGGGTCTCAATAACCATGCAAAGATTATTGAGAACTCTGCTTTTGAGACCATCAAGGAAGCGAAATATCTGACCGGTGATTTAGGCGGTACCGCAAAATGCAGCGAGTATACCAATGAAATTTGTAAGAAAATTATCGCTCAAACCAAATAAAAGGCAGATACTTCGTAATCGAAATTTAAACTGCCAAATACTCGTAGAATTCATGCGCCCGCGACGAGAAAGGGCTGCTATTTTCTACCATCTGTTAATCTGTATGCACAGTCTTGTATGTGCGTTTTCAGTGTAAATCTACAATCTGACTCGGATATAGATCGGATACTGTTGAGTATTCTCCCATTTTTGCATCCATGTAACATATGTACATGTAGATATGTACATGTAAAAAATTATTTCTTGGATTTCTTATGTTTTCTGTTAATTCGTTATAGGCGTGTTACATCTCTTCTTGATTCTTGATGATCTGTTAAATATGGAACGACATTTAATTTCGTTCTATTCATGAGATGCGTGTACACCATCATTGTTTACATCGACTGAACATTCTTGTATACGTGTATCGTGTATTATTTAATTTGTCCTAGATAAAGAGTCCTAGTAAAGATTGTAAAGATTAGCCATGTAAATTAAATAGTAAAAATGCTGTATCATAATTTTAAATAAAATTGTTACGCGAGACGTATATTCTATAGCAAAATAGTTAAAAATGTCGAAAATCGCGCAGTATTACAAACTAATAAAAAAATCTATAACTATATACTTATTTAAATCTATATCTATATACTTTTTGTATGGCAAAATCATCTAGGTTCTTATTTCTTAACTAATTGACTATGTCGTCTCCTCTTCCTCTTCCATTATACAATTGAAAAAATTCACAAATTGTTTTTAAAAAATTCTTATCATATAAAAAGTATATTTTTATCTCTAGAAGAATAGTTTCACACAACATATATTTTTCTTTGATTTTTATCCTATTATCATAGTTTATAAAACACTATAAAATCTTGTAGATCCTAAAGCGACGAATAATAATTTTATAGAGGGGGAGAATCACGCGAAGAAAGGTGATAATGTTTGCGAAAAGTCCTCTTGATCACTCTTGATACCAATACATTACAGAATGTATCGTCCCTTCTTTCCCCTCTTCCTCGCGGTGTTACGTTATAATACTCATCCCGCGAGCACTTCATAACTTCCCCCTACTCTCTGGCGTCGTTCTCCGGGTACGGTACATACTGCGCAGAAGAAAACTCTCAAGTATGAGAAAAGTTGCCGGCTATATTTCACCGGCGGGGCTGGGAATGGCGAAGGAAAAGGACGAGATGAGGAAGGGGACCGAGTGTCATCTTCGCCGCTCGTTAATTCCTTCTGTGATTTATCGCGATCCGCCGGGTGAGTAATGACTAAACGTCTCGAAAAATTTCGATATTAGATTTTCTATAGGATAACGTTGCGCCATTTCTCGATCGTATTAGTATTAAAGATTGAAAAAAAAAATGTTACGATAATCACACACGTTGATAAATCGTGGGGAAAATATTAGGATGTGTATCCTCTTAATCTACAAAATATATCTTATGTTCGCTATAATAAATTCCGAGTAAAATATTACACATAATAACACACATTTCAGTGCGTATCTCAATGTATCTTAATAAGAAATATTTTGTTTATTCGAAACGTATCTCATTTTATATAAACGTCATTATTTTAAACTCGCAGGAGAGAATACCAATAGTAAAATTGATAAACCCCCGTCGAATTACGCTCTTGTAAAATGTCTGTACGATGTAACGATGATGTAGTATGATGCTAACGAGCATGTAGGAGGCTGCGCGATATGTGCATAGGCCACGGCGGGGTAGTTGCACAAAGGTCCAACACTCCTGGTGAAGTGTGGAAAGCGCGACGCATGCATATTCAAGGATCGCGGAGAAAGGGGGAGGGATGTACATGTATGTATGTATGTGTTTATGTGTGAGCCATCGTAGTCATAGGAATAATAAAAATTCGAGGGTTGAAATTATTTAGATTTATGCCCGCTCTCTTGTCGTCGTGCCGTTGACGAGGCGCGATTCGATTCCGGGGAACAAATTTCATGCATTATTCAGGATGGCCGGGCCGGCGATGCAACTATCCCAGTCGCAATGGAAGCGATCCTTTTGGAAAAAGTCGTTTTTAATCTCTCGTCGCGCCTCAATAACGCGTATGTATACTCCTCCGACCCTTTAAGAAACGGAGGATTGCACGGGATACCAAGACCTAGTCTCGATATTGTCTTGCCTTGTCTCGAAATTCGAGATTTTTAATTAGTTATCAAAACAATACTAAGATTGTCAAAATTGTTGATTTAAAAAAAGTTAAAATATGTATACTTGTAAATTAAATGAGAAAAAGATCACACATACTATGTTATATATGAACTTAAAAAATATTACTTAATAAATAAAAATATTTATATTAACAAATTTAGAAACAATTAATAAAATAATAAATAGAATAAACAATATAAAATTTTATATAATTATTTAACTACAGAAAACTTTGCATACGGCACACGCGGTTCTCTAATTATGTGTTTGAATTTTATTGCATGTGAGTTGCATCTGCATTCTATTACCATTGCATGCAATTATCTTTTCGCAAGGACAGCAAATATTTAAATTATATTATAGAGATTATGTTAAATATTATTTTAAATATTTGCTAGATAAAAATTATTAGTACAATCGAGACAAGACAATGCAAGACAAGATTTTTGTTACAAAAATTCATTCAAGATCAAGACAAGATGCACAAATTTCCGAAAATTTTCAATAGTTATACACAATATTTTTACGAATATTATCTCAAGTCTTATGCAATCCTATGGAGAACAGTCCACCAATTCTACAATTCGATGATAACGCAAAGTATTTCCGAATACAATATTTTTCACGAGACTTACAATAAGCCTTAAAATCCTAATTACATTAATTCATCAGAAGCCTCTTACTCATAATGATCGAGCGCTATCTCTTTCTAATACACTCCGTAACGAACGCACGATGCTTATAATTAGTGTTTGCGGAAAAACATGTGACATTCTTCACTCGAAAAATTGTTTTGCTAATTTAAGATAAGATTTCTAGATGTTACAACAAAAATTTGCCGCTATTTTTTTATATCTGCTAGAATATTATTTATATACATGTAGATACATGTAGAATATATAGCAGCAAATTCTAATAATATCTTCTGATAAATTTAGATCCAATTGCCAAATATTAATTATCGTATTAGATAAATATGAGTTTCTATAATTATAACGAATTTTGTGAAAAATTATATTTTTACCATAGTCAAACTTTATAGACAATATATATACAAATACGATTAGTCTTGACATGAGTAGGCGACCATTTTCTTTCTAAATTTAATAAATTCAGATATAAATTTCGTCTCTTATTTAGATTGATTAAATGCAAAACATACACGAGCTATCAGTATTTGTTAATCATTTAGCACTTAGTTATTTTTTCACACCTAAATAATTGTTGCAGTTGCGAGACCATTTTTTTAAAAGCTTGTTTAAAATTATTTGCAAAAGAGATCGATCGTAAGTGGTGCGAATGGGAATATTTTAATCCCATCCATGCAAGAACGTCATTCTCTTTTATTTGTTACATGTGTTTAACTAATTGCTTCGACAGCACAATAATCGTCTTACCGCAGATTAACAAATCCGGCATTCGCCACGGCAAATGAAACTTTCATTCCATTATCATCGCGAACTGTCCGCGCGTTGCATCTTCGAGTCGAGAACAAACTGCTGCCGGATATGAAGACCTCTATTCTCTTCATCGTCGTCTCTATACCGATGCCAGAATTTATTATCTGAAGAATTTAGAGGATGTGCGAAACAATGATGCGATCTATCCGATCGTGGAGCAGGAAGCCTCCCGTGATTTAGACCTTCTCCTCGAGACCGAGAACATCGTATCTCCGGACAGAAAGGTCAATGATAATTATAAACTGAATAAATTCTATTTAAAATCAAATCAATTTATATATTTTCATTTTTTGCTATTTATAAATAAATAATAGTGTGCTGTATGTATTTCGTTAGGTGTACACTTTCATCGAACCGGAAAAGCCGTACATCGAGTTAAACAGAGACGTAAATCGACCAATCGCGTACTACAGATTAACCGAACCTGCTCCGACCAGAAGAGACAATTTCGACGATGTAATTTTTGTTTCACAAGGAGGTCGGAAATTAATGAAACTAAACGGCAACAAGGGCGAAGTGATCTTGGAGCTTCGCGTTATTGCTAATCACGATATGATTCGCACGTTAAAATCAAATTTTTGCCGATTCACTAGGAGAAGCAAGCCAATAAGGATCGAACAAGATTGTTATGTTGAATCTTGCATTGCTTTTATTACGTTCAATTTACAACAATGAGTACTTTCTATCAATACATATAGATACACCGGGATATACTATTATAATATTTACATTACATATCACATTGTCGAATTCGGATCGGGGCCATTCCATTCCGATACTTTACGATCCTTCAGTTTTCGCTGAGAAATGATCTGTAACTTCTTTTTTGATCGCTCAGATCAAAAAAGCACGCACAGATCAGAATCAAATCGAATAATTCTGTCTTAAAGTGCGGTCGATATGACATTTGAAGTATTTATGAAAAAAATAAAGAACAAATGAGAAATTTGATAAATAAATCTTGGTTGAAAGTACACGCGCGTGAGAAATTCTTACGAAAAAGAAATTTCCGCAAAAATAATATCTAAAGAGCAGCGAATAACTCTTTTTTCTTTCTCTCATAATTGTATGGAAATACATGCATTGTAAAAGGTGCAATTCGGTCTTGTACATAATTTGACTCTTACGTTGACAGAGGTGCTATATTAGACGAAGGATAGACGATCGCAAGTGCACTTTTGAAGATGTAACAAGAGAAGAAATGCGAATAACTGATGCTACGATTCTATCTTAGCGATTAAAATGGCAAGACCGTCCGACGCGCGCGTTCTCTTTGCAAGTCGTGTTTGTCATAGTTAAGTTATTCCGTTACTTGCGACGTTTGCTCGGTCGACGGATCGCTCTTAGGCTCTTTCACGTAATCCACTACTAATTCGAGACCGATTAAAGCTCGCAGATCCTTCCTCTCCTCTTCGGAATTCGTCGTCGTACTACTGGCGTCTTCTACCTTCGCGATATCCTCGCCGACTTGAAAAGCAATACGAATATTTTATTATACGCAAACGTGCACGCCTGCTTTTTTTGTTAATCCTTTCAGTGTGAGAGCTTATTCATCAAAATAGGTCAAAAATGTGCAAATTATGTTACAAATTTGAAAAATTATGATACATATTATAGTTTTCGATGATATTAAATAAGGATTTGTTATCAAATTTTCAAAATTTTAAATGACAGATCAAAAATTGGAACCACGTAAAAAAATGAAATTACGGTGTATCTTATAGCTTTCAAGGATGAATAAGAATTTATCAAATTTTAGTTATAAAATTTTCAAAATTAAAAACGATGAATTTAATGGAGTATTCATTGTTCAAATAGTGAATCGCTGATAAAAAGCAAAATTGTTTAATTCTGACTCGTAGCAAAATTAGATGAAAAGATTAAGAAATCAGTTTGAAAGGAAAAGAAAGGCATAATGTTTCTTACCTTGGTGGACTTCTTTCGAGTCCTCTTCGTTCTCCATCGACGTATCTGTCCTGGAGATCCTCGTCTGCTGTATGTCCTGATACGTCTTTGTGAGATGCTTCAAGATATAATTGGTACCCCGCATGTTCTCCGCGTCCAGATTCTTGGACGTCGTAGCTTCGTCACGGGTGAGATTCAACGGCCGATTACTGTACTCTTTGGACTGCGGCACGCTGAAGGCCGAGCAATGCTTGGTCTTGAAGGGTAATTGCCGCTCATTGGCATGTTTGCGATCCCAGATATGACCGGAGACGCGTAGATCTATGAAGAAGTGCAGCGGATCGATGCCAGGATAAGACTGCGGCATCGGATACGGTGGATACCATAACGGTCCGGGTAGAAACTCAGCTGGGCCGGACATGCCGCCGGGTAGAGCGGCGAAGCCCTTCACGCCCTGGAGAACGCCCTCGCATCCTCTGCCAGGTAAACCGGGAAGAAACGGACCACGTGGGAAGTCGAGCTTTTTCTGATCCGGTAACTGCAAACCGGGTGGTACGATCTCCTGGCTGGATGTGATGCTCTTGGTGCGATCCTCGTAATTCCTACCATTGTCAAAATTGCAGTTCCTGCTGCTGCGTTCCAGCTGCTGCGAGTCCTCCGGCTTGATCTTCCGCGACTCTCCGCCACCGGAGAAGATATTTTCCGGTGGCTGATCGAAATGCTGCCGCGGTCGCTCATGGTCAAAGAAACTTTTGCCGTGTTGCCGCGGCAAGAACTCCGTCTTGTTCTCATCGATGGGCTTCAAGATATCACCGCTAAAGTTGGGCTTCTGATCGAATGAACCAGCTTTGTTCTCCGATGCCGCGTCAGGATAGACGTCCGCTCGCTTACTGGTCTCGTTCTCCAAACGAGTCTCCGACGGTACCTGAGTAGACTGCTGCTGCGCCGCAGAGTGATAGTACTTATTGGTGTCCGAATGCTGGTGATAATGATGGTGATGATGATGATGGGATCGTTCCTTCGTCGTGAGTTCCAGTGGTCGGTCGCGGGTGTCTCGCCAGGATCGTTTGCGACGTCGCGACACATTCGACAATCCGCTGCCGCCGCTACTGTTGCCGTTGGTTGACGTTGTCTCCGTCTTGGCCTGCACGAAAGACCGCAGCATCTCGCTGAAGAAGAAGCTATGAGGTGTCAGTGGAACGTTGTACAGATACGGAGGAGTGGCCGCCAGCAGGCGAGAAACGAGATCTCCGCCCGATAAAGAGGCCGGAGTCTTCAAAGTCGACGGGTCGCCCGTGGTCGTCGTCATTTTAGCGGCTAAAATCAACGAAAAAAGACAGAATAAAATCGTCGAAAGTTTTATATAATGCAAGATTGCCTTTGGATGTTTAGATTAAATAATAAAATTTACTAATATAAAATTGTCTCAGTGCTTACATTAAAAGAAAAATGATCTTGCATCTATAATAATTTTCTGATACGAAAAATTGACTGAAATGAAAAAATAATTAGCAAATAGTATGATGCATATGTTTTGCACTTAATCAATCTAAATGATTTATATTTAAACTAATGAATTAGTAAAATTTAGAAAAAAACTTTCTGTGGCGCTTATGTTAAACACTTTTTTGAGTTTATAAATTGATTCATATTGACTTATTTTTTAAATGCGAATAGATATAAAAACGTAAGGCCACAATTATGTTAATTCGTTTATGAAACAATCAATTACATGGCACGCATTCTATTCTGGTAGAAGGAAAAATTAGAAATTTGCTTCTCAAACGAAGAGTTTAATTTATCTTACGAGAACAATCTTTAATTTTGCCATGATAAATAATAATATATTAATTCCTCGATAAAGAATTTTCTTCGTTATTTTATTTACTTTTTTCGATAAACGATGTAGTAAAATAATCACATATATCATAAAAATAGCTTTAAAATTACATTAATTTTCTAAGTGCGAAATATTAGATAGAAAATTACATTAGAAGATTAAATTAGAATATTTAGAAAAAAAATCTTTTATGTGTGTGTAACAAAAGAATTTTTTTACTTTGAAATATTGGTCATATCTTAAAGATTAAAGATTAAATAGACGACCTTTTATTTTCTTCATTTTTAAAAGAGGAGATTAAAATGTGCGAATAGAGATCCGTGTACATCTTGCTCTTCTTACGTAAGTGATCGAGAATATTTTGCGAACAATGGAATAGCACGAGCTTGATGATGTAATGACTGTGTACGAAGAACCTACAAGCACAATTCGCCGATGTGGATGTGAGCTACTATTGTCTTCTGAAATTAATTGAATGGCTCCCGGCCTTAAGTCTAAGACCAAGGAAGAGCGGTGTCTAACAGTGGGACGGGAACCGGCCTGGGATAGGTATCGCGTCATCCATTAAGGAATACTAATTTCTGTCAAGTACACGTTCGGTCTTACCCGAGTGCGAGAATTCTCGCGAAGAATTCTCGTCGAGAATTTCTCACGACAAAGGATCCGTTGACGCAGATATCCTTGAATAGATATTAGCTTATCCGAGAAATCATTCCGCAAGATTCGAATATTTGCACTATAAATATCTATTAAAAAAATTATTATTTTGTCGTTGCATTCTCGTACACATGCAATACGTGTTGTTTCATTAGCATGTAGCTTTTCAATTTTACAATCTACATCATTGACGACGACTTTGATCGCGACGAATAAATTCGCAATCGCACAATCGTCGAAGAAATTTTTCTTCGTAGAAAACAGAGATCTCTGAAAAGGATCTCGACGAGGCAGAAAGACCAAAGAGCAACGGGGTGTGGAAAGCAGAAAGCGGAGTCGTTCGTGCATCCGCGCGTCCAAAGAGAGAGAGAGAGAGAGAAAGAGAGAGAGAGGGATCGGGCATTGTTTCGGTCCATTGTTTCCCAAACAAACGGCGTCCACGTTGTTTCGTCAGGAGATATTATGTTCAGCCAGACAGGCAGGACGAACGGGAAATGGACTGCTGTCAGTTTTACTCTTCGTGATAAATACGCGCCCGTCGCCGGCGCCGTTCCAACGCCGCGGCCATAATTCCGTCCATCCGTATCGCGCGGTACATGTCAAAGTTGCGATTGCAGTGACAAGACCGCGACTTCTTCTGGCAATGTGTGCATCGCAAATTCCTCGAGCTACTTCGAGGATATAAAAACAAAAAAGAATGGGAACTTTAATATGAAAAAGATGTAACATCTCTTTAATTATGATAAAGTCCAACTACAAAAATATTGCTCATTAAAATTTTTTTCTTATTTACTTACTTTTATTTAAAAAAAAGAAAATAAAATAGCGATAGGATGCGAGAGATAAAATGTTCGGACATTCTTGATTTTGAATTAAAAGACCGATGAGCGTTCACCAGAGGCGAAGCGTTCCGTATCACGGAGCAGAGAATCCTTTCGCGAATGTGGGCGATCTTTTTCTCACGCGAAGACTCGTTTAGACAATGATACCGGCTTGGCGGCTATTCTAAGGACCATAAAGCGACTTTACGGGGGACGGCGTTACATTATTATTCCGCTTGAAAGTGGGCGACGCGAATGGAGCGCGCAGATCACTTCGACGCCGACGTCGTCGCCGTCGTCGTCGCCGTCACCATGCTCGTCCCCGTCGAGGGACAATCTCGGTTTCACGCGGCGCGCGAGGGAAGGCCGGTTTACGATTCATAAGACAACTCGGCGGATTGAATTAAGCTCGCTCGCGCTGCGGCAGCTGCCACCGGCGGCGGGCGGGCGGCGCGAATCTGCATAATCCCGTTCGCGTCGACGATTCTAATTGGCGGATTGTTTCAATCTCTGTCGCTGCGAATATTTGCATTCGCGCTGCTCTACCTCCATCGGCCTGCCACCCTCACCCTCGCCTCCCTTTCTCTCTCTCCCGCTCGGTTCCCATCCGTAGCCGCGGCTACCGCCACCCCCTCGCATCATCTACCCTTACAACTCCGATCCTGCGATCTCTCTTTTGCTTCGTCTTTCCGTCTCTTCTTTCCATCTCTTCTTTCCATCTCTGTAACCTCCTTTCGACATTCACTTTATCGTCACTATCTCCATCGCGAGATGCAGGCATATCAAATAATGAAGCGTCCCTCTTGTTTGAACGAATTTCTCTCTTCGTTCGACTCGACTATATTTCTTTCTTTTTTTGCTATATTATTGTTAATATTTATTTTATATAAGATTCTCTCTCTCTCTCTCTCTTGCAATTTGTCCATCATTTCGCTCAACTTGAGTTTAATAAATTAAACACCTTTTTCCATATAATATTTTTCTACATTTACATGCTTCCATTGTCTTGCATTGTTATCTTTATTTCAAAGATCGCCAGTGGCATTCGTATGTTTCGTTTCACCGGTATTTCCTATAAAAATTGCCTTAAAAGAAATATTTTGATACAATCGACGTCATTCAATTGCAGCCGTGTATTTTATTTTGCATGTCGCGCATTTTTTTCGCCTCCAAGCTAATCAGTATTCTCGATACTTTCAGTTGCTAACTATTTTTATATTTTTCTACAGTTCGTTTGCCTAAATATTATTTCTGAAAGAGAAATAGAGAGAGAGAGAGAGAGAGAGAATTCCCAAAATATTTCTTTGTATAAATATACGAATACATCAGAGAAAGACTTGGAAAATATCAATCTGCCATTGCTTGAGAATTATATAATCTAAGTTAAAAAAATATCGAGATATAAGTAAAAAAGTTATCAAAGTGATTCAACAATCTCTTTAAGATTGATATAACACTTCAAATTTATACATAAGAATCTCATTAAGATTTGTGATATATCAAAACTTGAGATATACACACTTTCAGCACAAGTCGTCTGTAATTAATGACACTATCTAAAGTCTGAATAACATTAAATTCTCCGTTTCGGCTACTTTTATACAGCACAGTTCGCTTTTTTAACTTCCTTTCGAGAAGAGACGGGCGCAATTCTTTTACCATTCACATAAATATTTTTATTGCGAGACGTTCTCGCGGCCAAATCTTCTCGTTTTGCATAGAAAGAAAAAGCCGCCGGCCGCAGCAAAATCCGGGCTTTTTTTACGGTTGAACTCTCTGCGTAATTCAAACATCCTGCTTTCTGCGTCACGCGAAGAGAATGCGCCCGACTCTCCAAAGGACTCCCGGAAGAATCCTAGGGAGCCTACGACTCCGACAAATAATCACGTCTGACACTATACGAACCTCCGCCACTTTGGCAAACTTTGCGATTTGCAGCTTTCGACAGATTCTTTATTACTGTTATTATTATTCAACATTATTTATTCAAAATGCCTTTTAATAAATCTTTGTAAAATTATAGAATACGAAGAAGAGTTTTATAGATAATAAGATGTAATCATGATAGCGTGCAGATAAATGATGGAAAGAAATAAACAAGTACACTCATTTTAAATAGAATGTCTATTGATGGAATTGATATTTGTGTGAAGAGATCTGAGAATGATATCCGAATATTGCTTCTTATTATAGGTGAAGTCTTTCGTAAACTGAAAGAAGATGTGGAAAATGATTATGGATACTGTGAAAGAGAGATGAGAGATACTATTTCTCTTGCATAGATATAATATTCAGCGCAATGATTGTCACGCAATGGAAATTATCGCGGTCACCGTGACATTTAATGTGCATCGTATTCTCACATTTTACATGAAAAGAAAACGGCGTGTTTGCGGAATCGATCGTCCTGATTACCATATGCGACATGCACAACAGATGTTTAACGGGAAGTAAATGACCAGTTAAACGGTACAACCGCAACATCATTAGAAGCTATAGAGTATAGTGCAACAGAGAGTTGCATCGCCTCGTAAGGAAAGGAATGCCAATTCAGTCTGAATTCGAAATCTAAACAAAAGATGTTATCTTATTTAGTTAAATTTGAATGATAAAAAAGTATAGCGTGTTTATACAAATGAAACATTTTATATCAAGTAAATTTCACGTAAATAAATCATATTAAAAAATAACTAACTTCTTAGTTCCGAAACAATCAACCCCCATGATGATTTTTACAAGAATATGTCGCGAACCACTTTTGTGATTAAACTGTTTCCAGAGATACCTAAAAAGTTTCCAAGAAAATGTATCAGAAACATCGGACAAATTGCGGATAAAAAAATTTACATTTCGCGTCTAACTTTTCGTGAAATTTGTCATCAAAGTCCCCAAAGTATAACGCCGACACTCTCGATGGCACGCAGCGAAAGAGCGGTCCTATCCTCAAGAGTTGCACTCACCTGCACACGCGATAGCAGAGGAAGTCCTCCAAGTCGGTGCCGCCTCGTGGACGACGATCCACCGGTCGCCCGGGATGACGATCTATGGATCCCTGTCGCAGTGGTGGTCCAACGCGTGCTGCTGGCCGTGGCGGCAAATGAGATAATAATCGGAGGACTCAGTCACTCGTTGTCGACGGCTGCGTGGCTGTCGGGATGGTTGTTCGGTGATGGTGGCGGTGGCGGTGACGGCGGCGGCGGCGGTGGTGGCGGTGGGGGTTGTATTCCATCCCTTGGCGACTGTCGGCGACGAGGGTGCGAGAGTAACGGGGCGCGCTGTCTGTGCGAAAGAGCGCGCAAGGGAGGCAGAGGATGAACGAGGGGATGAAAGAGGATGGAGGAAGAGGAGGAAGAGGAGGTGGAGGTGGACTAGGAGGCGGGAGGGTGGTGGTTTTTGAGATGATCCGGCCAATCTGCGCATCATTTCCCCGATGCACCCTCCGCCCCTCGGCCACGCGCGTAGCGGCAAACCGGCGCGGATTCCGCACCACCGCAAGCAGCGTGGAAGCCCTGTTGAATGCCACATTTCGAGGCAAAGACGAAGTGGGAGAGGGAGAGAAGGGCGGGAGGGAACGGCGCGTTCGCGGCGCGAAGAATGAAACGGGAGGAAGATAGACAGATACGGAAAGAGTAACGCGCGCGAGAGGAGGAAGGGGAGAACGGCACTAAAAAGGAGAGAGTAATGCCGGGGAGCGAAGCGAGGCCGGCTCTCTCGCGGTAGTCCGCGAAGGGAGGGAAGGAAAAAAAAAGTGGAAAACAGATATATAGGCAAAGAAGGGAGAGGAAGGGAAGAATCTTCCTCCCCGCGTGGATGCGCTCCACGGTTTTCCTCCGCTTCTCCGGGGTATCTCTTCGACGCGCATATGCACGTATCCGGAACGTGTTTGCACGTCACCGCGAAGGGATTGGATCCAGCACGCCGATCTCTAATGCCAGATGGAATTGAAAAACTCACGTGTATGCGTCATACAATTTGCCAAGAATCCCCCAGCGGCTCGTCGCGCTATGAACGATAAGAGGACGGAATGCAAAACTTTATCTTACAAATACGTTAGATTATCAAAGCATCCGGTAACCAACACTGTTATGCACTAGGTCTCTTTGTGTTTGCGAAGCAACTTTGTGCCACGATGCGGAAGCTTTTTGAAAGTAGCTTAAATCTTAAAGAGGGTGTACGTTTTAAGATAATTTAATAAAATCTCACAGGACTTATAATTCCATTTAATTAGTTTGGGAAGAAAAGATCTTATATTGTATCGGTAATGTTTCGACCTAGGGCGCCAAAATTATTTGCGAATTAGACCAGACATCGATCTTCTTTGGAAGGCAACAGATATCCGTTAGAAGGGAATCGATCCCTCGCGCGCATCGACATTGTAAATTTTGCAACGGGATCGATGACGACCGAACCCCTCGCGGTCGGATTTAGATTTTAAAGGATATCAGGGCTTCCCTCGATGCGTAATGTGCGCGGCAGAGCCCCGCAAAATCGTGCATGGAAACGCACCTCAATGAGCGATGTGCTTTTCAATAGGTGGGAGAGACGAGTATGCATACGCGAATGTAATACACATGGGTTCCGCTAAATCCATCGGAGATCGAAAGAGGACAATCACACCGTGCTCGATGCTCACGACGAAAGATTTTCTACGGCGAGATAAAAATCTCCGTCGAGTAATAAATATGCGCATATTTATTTTTTATAAATAAACATTTAAAATTCAATCGTGCAAATTATGAGAGTAATTAAATGTACTAATTTGATTAATGGAATCATTGATAGTTGAAATCTCCTCTCTCTCTCTCTCTCAAAACTATTCAAAAATCTTTGAAATTTTTTGACATGATACATGACATAGTCAAGAGAATAATTTATAATATTTCTTAATTTTATACATATATACAGAATGTTCGAAAAGAGTATTGTAATTATATATATATATATATATATATATATATATATATATATATATATATTTCAAATATTTAAAAATATCAGATATAATATTTAATAATATTTAAATTTATCAGATATTATTAACAAGTTAATGCTTCTCCGCGTAAAATGTTGAATATGATCTCCACGAACATGTAACAAGCCTCATATATAATTGTGCGATATTAATAGCATAATTAATGAATTCAAGTTTACTAAGTCTTTTTCTTCAGAAATCAGCAATTAATTCTTTCGTAATATGCGAGCGGTCGATTAATGGGAGGGAGATAAATAATGCGGCGAAAGTTTATCGTGGCGCGTTGTGCGTATTTATTATTCACTATAAGACTTTTCCTGCGGCGCGCAGTCGCGCTCTCTTTGCCCGACACACAAGCCGGATGACCACTTACATCACACCGTACGTGAAACGATGCTAATTGGTCCGCCGCGAGGGGTAGTAAAGCGCGAAACCACTTCGGGCTCCCGAGCCGGGCGCTCCGTTTCCACCCTTAACCGGCCTCTTGACGGTCGTCGATTCGACGGGAATGAGGACGAGGGCATAAATCCGGGCACGCACTCGCGACGCGTTCCTCTCATTAATTATGTAAAGAATTTTTCAACGTTGTCCCTTCCGTTCACATCTCGCCAAATTTCACGATTCAGCGGATTCTGAGTTTTAACTTTTCAATTTTAATTTACGTTATCGTAAAATTACGTGCAAATCAAAATCGCATTAACGTAAATTGAGAATCATGCGAACGAGATTCTAATTCGAAAGTTCGAATGCAAAATGTACGAACTGTTCCTGTGATTTATTCAATTTTAATGAAAAAAAGAGAGAAGAAAGTGTCGAGTATTAACAATTAATTTTCTAGATAAGGAAGCATTATATATTACTAATTTATTTTCTCATACAGAGTTATCATTTCCATCTTTGAATCGTATGATAGTACATATGTGCTTTTTGTATATAATTATTATTGATTTTTTTCACTTTATATATTTAATTTATATATTTCTTTAGTATTTGTTTTCTCAATTCGATTGTAATTAACGATCGTTCTTTTGACGATGAGTAAATTAGGGGCGAAGAAATGAGAAGCACAGGTATGAACTTCGCAGCCGAGCGATTCAAAATCGCTGGCTCCCAAGAGAGAAGGAGAAAGAGGAAAGGGAAAGGAAGGTATTTCGGGGGCGGCCGTGAATCCGCAGTTAGAGACAGCACCCTAAAATTTCAATCGACGATTCGACGGTACCAAGAGTCTCTTCTTCAAGCTTCGAGTATCCGAAGAGTTAGCACGAGAGGGAACGGGACGGAGGAGAGAGGATGCGGGGAAACAATTTACTCGAAATTCGCCTCGTCGCGTTTGGCGACTAGATACACTCTTATTTGTCCCCGCGGCAATCTGTCGACTGCAACCCTTCTCCAGCGTCGCTTTCACCACCACCACCACCACCATTACTACTACCATCACCACCTTTTCGGTCGCACCCTGCAACCTCGATCTGCCGTCCCCCTTTTCCCGCATTCCCTAACGTCTACGGCTGCCTTCTTCTCTCGCGACGAAGAGAAACCGCAAAGCCTCATGGGAATTTTAAACACCGACAACTCGGCTCTTATGCTCTTTCCTCGGCATCCATTTTCCCTCTCCGTCCCTCTTCCCAATCTGGATTCCTTTCCTATCGCGTTCCTCACGCTCGTCCTTCTGTCCCTTCCTTCGACAGATGAAATTTAGCGATATAGAGTACTTGGGACAATACGATTACAAATCTCTTTGACATTGCCGTCCTCTTTTCCTTATAATGTGCGAAAATCAAGGACATCATCAGCCGGATATTCTTCAATGACGCATCATCGGGCCATTGAAATCTGATTATTCATGAACCCTCGTTAATTAATCCGAGCTTAGCGTATTATGACTGAATAGCAGGGTGAAAGTGATATTAATAATGTGCATTTAACAAGTGTTTTCTTCTAAATTGAAAAAGCAAGATATGTTAAATATCTTCATTAAATTTTCATCTAAATTTCGATCTTCGCGTAATCTTCAATCTCATTGCGCATCTTGCAGCATCTAAATAAACAAGTTTCATAATTGAAAGGTATAACGGAAGAATGAGATGAGCTTGTAATTAAGCTCCATTCTATTTAATTACTACTTTATATTTAAAGCTTTATATAAAAATCAGATAAGTCTATCGGAATCGAAGATCGAACTCGCGGAATCGCGAGTCGCTGACAGCCACGCGCGCTCGTTTAATCGAGATTTATCCCCGTTGTTGCGCATCTGTCGTCCCACGCGCGCGGGGCGCGCGAAAGAGGCGGAGGAGAGGGCGAGCGGGTGGTTTTAAGAGAAAAGGGCGAGAGATGAGGAATCACTCGAGTCGCGCGCTCGCAGCGAGAGCTCGCAGCGGGGTGCGTAATATTCCCGGGAAGTAAAGCTCCCGAGAATTTCAAACCTCTCCCTCTTCCTTTCTCTCCTGTCTATACCTACTACTCGTCCTCTCTCGCGGCAGGCAGAACGATAGAAGAGCGTCGGCCGCCCCTCCGACTACGAAGGGATGCAAATAACTGGTGATAACAACAGATAGCTCTGCTGTACGATGTACGCCTGCCTGTCGCGTGTGGGTGACTACGATGATGGTGGTGGTCGTCGATGGTTTGGGTTTGATGGGAGGAAAGGGGTGGTATAAGAGAAGCAGGCGAAAACGGGGGCAGCAAACGGGAGACACAAAAGAGAGAGAGAGAGAGGAGAGAGGGTGAGAGTAGCGGGAGAATCAGACTTGAAGAGAGTAGGCCAGGGGGAGGGTTGAGGGACAGGCACAGGCACAGGCACAGGCAGGCAGGCAGGAATCGTAGAGCCGCGGAAGAGAAGAGGTAGAGCGATGCGGCGGCGTCGAACGGGGTGAGGGGAGGGTGACAACAGAGACCGGATGGAAGGCAGAGTGGATGGAAGAGTAGTAGTCTCTGCCGCCGTCTCTGTCGACCCGTCGTTCCAATCGTGCCCGTCTCTCCTCCTTCATCCAACTGTATCCGAATCGGGTCGGGTAGAAGGGTGAGAATTGGAGCAACGAGGAGAATAAGTCGTCACACTGCAAAAGAGAGAGGGAGAGAAAGGCAAACGAGGCGGGCAGCGAGGGTACGGGGGTGGCCGGACCCGTGGGCTCGACAAGGGTGAGGCAGAGGGTGCTGGGGGACGTCACTCGCTGTCGCATCGAGCGCGAGCGATGAGTGGCGCGCGCTCGCTCGTCTTTTGTTTGCGATACGATGCGACTGCCAGCCTGGTGACAGCGACGACGTGGTGCGACGTCCGGGGAACGACACGGGGCGGTTTAGGGTGGACCCGGGGACGGCAGCGGCAAGGGGGACGCGCGCGCGCGCCGCTCGAAGGGGGGCTGAAGCGCGCCCCGCGGGGGTGGAAAGTGGGTGGATAGAATGAGGCTGTGGGTGAGAATCATAGAGCTATACGCTACGCTTAACGCGACCCACGCACGCACGTATATTCACGCCTGGCATGACGCACACGCACGCTACACGCGCGCGCGTAAGCTTTCTCCAGCCTCGCCGCGCGTTTCCCGTATTGGGTCCTTGTTGTCGGCAGGTTGCCGGATACGTATCCTGCGAATCCGCTTTGCCCTCCGGGGCGAGAGAGATGCGATGAGCTCGAGATATGCGAAGCCGTCTCGATACTTATGTTAGAAATCGAGATGCGTTTATTGAGTATCAATGACCTTCTTTTTTCTAGTCGAAGAATAGCTTTTCTTACTTTTTCTGCGCAACGAATTGTTGAGGTGATAAATAAACTTACACACATTCAAGCTTTTGGAATCTTTGAAATTAGCGATAAGACTCTTGCTAATTTAACTCTTTTCTAATTTAAAAGAAAAAAATGTAGAGATTTACAAGTAGAATTAAATAAATTTATAAAAGTATATTATATGCAGACGAGATCGATGCGATTTTCGCTTATCTTGTATATGCATATTATCTTTTATTGACAAAAATTTAATATTATTATAAAACTGATATTTTTCATCGCAGTAATATTATTAAAAATCTTTTATATCGTTGTTTTAAAGAATAAATTTTTGAAAATATCAAGTGAATCGGATTTGTAACAAGCATCGAATTCATGGTTATTATATCTGCAAATCGATGTAAGACCCGATGTTAATAACAGGGATAAATATTTTTCAAAAGTATACGTATATAAAACTTTTTGTATAACTTTAATAGACAGTTCATGTTTAAATTGACAAAATAACGCGATAATCCGGCGCATCGCGATGCCGTTATAGATTTTCAGAGATCTTTGCGAGATTCAACGAACATGAGCAACATCATAAAACCGACAGAAGCTTTATCGCAGTGAGTTTTCGAGAGTGCAAAGTGTTCACTGCATGCACTTGCACTTGGAGTATGCGACTGAGGTTTTAAAGTGCATCGTATAAGAGAATTTTTTCTTTTTTTTGGTGAAAATAAAGCACGATCGCGAATGTGATAAACGTTGCGCATAAATGTATGTCGTTTCTAATATCATAATGTATTCTAAATATCTCATGTATGCACATCGAGAAAAGAATGGAAAAAAATTGATAATGGCCCAATCGTATCTACAATTTAAATAGTCGATTCTTGAAATCTATTATTGATTTTGTGCGAAATGTACGATTTC